GATAAATCATCTTTGGCAAAGATGTTCACAATAACAGTCTCTCTTTCTAATGTTGGGAGCAGAACACAGGAATATTGTACTTTGTGACAATTTAATGGCAGTGATCCCCTTTGCATGTGTGCAAAGAGGAGAAAAAATACTTCACTAAAAAATCTGATTTCATTTCCACCTTATTTTCCCAGAAGACTGCTGTAAACTCACAAAACTTTACTTCAAATGTGCATGAGTACATTATTTCAGCCCATCAATTCCAACTTTAAAGAGTACATTTCCTCATATATTTATCAGGCCCCACCTACAGTTATTTGGCTGAGTACAGAACAGTATGTCTAATAAGCACCATTGAGGTTCTCCTCGAACAAACCAGAATAATTTCACATCCACAAACCATTTCCTTTCATTCACTAATTTCTCTTTTAAATATAATAGTTAATTAAAAGATAAGTACATGAAAATGTAGAAGACCTTGAGCCCAACCAGTGGTTGCATCAGACATCAATTTACTTCTGCTTTTGAGAATTATTTTAATTACCCTTTTTCATGAATAATAAGCCTTTTTGCATGAATAAATATAGAATTCAGCAAGGAAGTATGGATCTCACAATTTAAAGACAAAACTCTGTAAGATCCTACTCTGACAGAATGAAAAAATTAGTTTTTTCATTTTCCCTGTAAAAATTTATCTTAAACTTCAGCAAGACTGTTGCACTGAACCAGTCTGGCTTAGAGGTGGATAACTATTTCAAAAGAATGTAAGACAAAAACTGAAGCCTAGAGACTCCAATCTCTAGGAGTTAATGAAAGTGTCTACAGTCCAATGGCATGTGGTTTTAGCACCCTGTTACAGCCAGCAGAGAGTTTCACTCCCTGGGCTGTATCACAGTAGTTTCTGAAGCATTCTCAGGCAATTTGCAAGGGTAACACTGCAGGATGCAGGCTTCAAATGTGCTGTAACACATTATTCATTATCACAACAAACAGTACACAGAATCTTCTCTCTACAACCTGAGATTTCAGGCTGTTCAAGGACAGTAAATACCCCATGTCATATACAAAGTCACCATCTGAATGTAGCACATGAGCACTCAAATCCTTGATAGCCACATTTCCTATGATTTGATGCTGGGAAGCCATCAGCATTTAACATTTGAAATAATTATGTAGGTGTCAGGGTGGTTAAACATGGACTATCAGGCAAATAATGGATTTTCCTTTAGGTATCTGGCATTTAGCATTATGGCATTTTTTTGCCATAGCCACGAATCCCATTAGGACCCTGTTGCTCTTATCCCACACAGCACTTAAAGATAAATCTGTCTTGTCATACATTGAAAGGAGGGGAAGAATGCAGCATGCTAATTACTAGAAACCCTCATTCACTTACCACACTATAAAAATAATTATTCAAAACCAAAAAAACAAGGTGCTTTTGGTTTTGTAAAATTAGGGTCTTTGGGCCCAAGTCACCAGAAAGCTTTTAAAACAATGGAGAAACAGAGAACTAGGTCTGTATCGGAGCAGGGGTCACCTGCACTTTACATATGGTTGGAGATTCAGGGTTGCAGCTGCTGTAACAACTCAATTTGAAAGCTGGCACCCTGCATCATGTGAAAGTTGGAGTACACTTCCCCAAACCAGGACAGAAACAAGCTTCAAGAAAAGCATCGGGAAATTGTAAACAAAAACAAGGCTTCTCCCCAGTGCTAGAGAACAGAAGTAAAAGGGACATGGCAAGGATCTTATTCGATGTGCCCACTTTATCCTCAAGTACAAACAGGGGAGCACAGACTAATTAGTAACTCATAATTTTAAGGGTTTATCCAGAAAGAGAGAATGAAGTACTAGGACAAAATATAACAGCTTTAAATTATGCCTCAGATGCCCACCGCATCAGCAGAGATTCTTGCAGTCTAATTGTCTCTTGAAGCAGCACAGTAACAGATGCAGAAGGAAACACTTGCAAACACAAGAGGAGAGAGAAAAAAATAACTCTTCAGTACTGAAAGAAGTTTTTAAAAGGCCCAAGAACAGGGAAGAAAAAAAATCAATAAAATTTCCAGAGGAACTCATAAGAGGAACTCATCAGTAAATGTTCCTTCCACACAGTTCAAGGGCCACTTGAAGCCTGCATTTTTTTCTGCATGAAGCCTCTAAAACATATTTCAGTTGTGTCCACTCTACTAAAAATAATATATATGAACATTTTCAGTCTGCATTAAGTGACCTTCTGTGAGGAAAACTTCAGCAGCCATATTCTATATCATATGTTTAGAATTAACCAGAGACATTTAATGAAGATTTTGCCTACCTTCCACAATATTTACTGAAAGTACATATTTAATATCAGTTATTACTCATATCACTTAAATGGCAGAGAAAAGTCATAAGTTGGCAACTTTTAAAATTTATTGAGAAACCTCAGCTAATTTAGTGTAGAATAAAAACTGGGATTACATTTGGGGGAAAGAAAGATTACATGTGTTTTCCACTATATCTAAAGGTTGTATCATCATAAGCAAATTGTGGAGACAGAGATAAAAGTGAGATAAGACACAAACAAATATTCAAGCATATGATAGAATTGATGCCTTAAAAAACGGCAAATCCTTCAAAATGAACATAAAGTGATTTTTTAAATTAACAGATCCAATCACAAGAACTAGGAGTTTTTTGAGAACACTGTGAATCTTGAGCAAATCACAGAACTACATTATTTTAGTATGTTGAAGAAAAGTTCCATTTTATCTATTAAAAGAGAAAATCCTCACAGCTCTCCTCAGATAAAAAAAATTAAAATTAAAAACATTTAAACATTATCACTTAAAGTTAAGCCATATGGCATGATAAGAATATTTACTTAACCTTTAGCTTCATCTGAGAGAAATGTGACAATTATAAAGGTCTAAATTCAGAAGAGTTTAGGTTTAGATTTAGAAGAATTTAGAAAGGTTTTTCTTCCCCACACATTCATGTGGCCAGTAGGGGATCAATGGTGACTCCAGAAAAACTTTTTATGTTTTACATCATGTACATTAACTTTACCTTCCTTGAAGTCATCTGCAGGCATGACAGATTTATCACTTGTAACTGAGGGATCTTGAGATTTTTTCCAAGACTTCCTAAAATAAATATTTTAAAACTCTTGCCTATGAACCAGTGATGAACTTCATGCATTATTAGTAGTACTATAAGAGCAGATACAATTTATGCTGATCCTGATCTCCTTGTTTATAAACTGCGAGTTTAGTTTCTTAAAAGAAGAAAAACAACAGCAACAAAACAATAAACACTGACAAATGAAACATCACAACAATGACTATTTTTGAACTGCCAGTTCCTGTAGTGACTATAAAAATCTTACAGCATTGTAAAAGGAAAGGAAAGGATGAAATCCAGATGAATTTTCTCAGGTGAGAACAACTGTATGAAATAACGATTCCAGAACATTTATATTGAAAGAAAATTTGGAGAGAATTGCAGTATTTCTTTTGGACTTTTTTAATCTAAAACAATGCTGGTTGAGACATCTTCACAGTTATTATGAGAGTAAAACAGTTACATATAGAGTAGTCAAAAACCTATTAGAACTTGCATCCTAGAGAAGACATACGAACAACATAACACTGGCAGAGTGGATCATTAATTAAATACACCTAAGTGTAATTGGATGTAAATGTGCCAAATGAAAAATGCAATGTCATCAACATAAAGCATAACTATAAATCCTAGCTATGATCGGCCATGTGTACAAAGGTCAAAGCTAAATCTGCATGTCATAGTCATGTATGGATTCTCTGTTTTTAGGGTGTCTTTCTTGAACTTCTAGCTATTCTAGATCATACCTGTGATATTAACTACATACCCTTTGAATCGTTCTAGCCATATAAACCAGGATGTTCAGATCAATACATAAAATCTCATGAAAAAAAATCAACCGTTGTCTTAACTTCTAGAAGAAAAAGCAGATTTTACATCTTCCTCCTGCTTGCATCCCAAAATTGATATTATAAAATCAGTCTCAGCTCTTTCCTAATCCTTGAGTTGAGAAAAATGCAGATCCAATCTCAAGTGCAGCAACAACTGATCATTTTTCTTTTAGTCTTTCCCTTTTCCTCGTAAGATTCTCAGACTTGGCCTATCTTTGCTGGACTTATAAATGATTTGTTGAGGAAAGGACAAACGTGATGAACCCCTCTTCTCTCTTGCATCAGACTTTCTGTGGCATAAGTAAGTATTATGTGTGCCAAAGAAAGGAAGAACCAGTCTGTAATCTAACTAGCTCTTTACACACAAAATACATGGGATCTAATCCTTTCTGCCCTGTGCACTAGTTTGCTAATTTTTTCCTATAGATACAGGTTTCCATACAGCTACTGATTACTCTTCATTGATAAAAGCAATGTGAAATTTTTAGCAGGCTACAACAAGCCATCATTATTACAAGTCTTCTAGGAAAGTGGCATTAATCACAGCTCTTATAAAATGAGTAAGCCTTTAATATTGTTGGGTTAAATTAACTCACATCTAAAATACGTGTACAGTACCAGAACAGAGAAATTAACTTTCCCTTCCAGGATTCACAGAACAAAAATTACATATCCAGAAGTTTATTTAACTAATATGGACTGATTTGAGACTACCAATGCTCTTCCTACTGAACTGCAAAGTGCTGCAAAATCTTGGGTTAACTTTCATTCATCAGGATCTGAATCCTACCATGAGAGACCAAAGAACACTGAGTTAAAAATAATAACAGAGGAATTCTAATTCTGTTGAAATCAATGGTCCTCTTATTTTTCATGCAGATTTGGACAAGATAACATGATATTCTGGAGCTTTTAATTTTTTATTTAATGAAATAATTTTGGTTTAATAGACTGCAACTCAATAAAATCAGTAGCTCCCTCCTTTAGTTAGAAACCATACCAGCTGCCCAATGAAGTTAAAAGACAGGAAGGTAGACAGCAGTGCTAAAGATTTGATGATGGCTGTGTACATACCACCTTTCATCATCCCCACTTCGTAGCATTTTCTCAGTCGGCAGGCCTGGCAACTCTTCCTTCTGTTCTTGTCAATGGTGCACTGGTTAGTAGCAGGACACATGTAGTCATTGTGCCCTGTAAAACCAGAGGGAAAGTAAGGACACAGCTATACACAGACATAACAAAAATTACTATAACATCTTGGGGAAAAAAGTAGGGTTACCATCATAACCTCTCGTAAAAATGTTGATACAGATTTTGAAACTAACATCTGTATGCCACGCATTGATTTGCAAATTCTTTAAATTAAAACTTCTGTAGAATAATTAAAATAGTGAACAATTAAAGCAACCACAAAAGAGGATCTATTAATATGAACTAGCGCCTTGACTTCCTTGCTCTCAGGCCGAGAAATACACCACCATCTGGTTTTGTGTGCCTGTGCTGATGTTTAAGCAATAGACTGCACAAAATGAGGTTTACGAAATTAAAAAGATTTTATCTGTGACAGTCAGTTCCAGTAAAGAAGCAAACAGCAACATAGAACAGAAGTAAAAATCCTCAAATAATTAATTGTACCTCAGGGATAAATCAGTCACTAATTCCAGCTGCATGTCTACTGCTTTGGGCAAAAACTTTCTGACATGACAAATTCTAAAATTACCACACACTGAAACCAAGATTGTTACTGGCATCTTCTCCTTCAGAGCTCCTCTTCCTCATTTCTTACTCTCTTTAGCATTTGTTAGTGCCAAAAAGCATCTATTCCATTTGCTTTTAACAAAAGTGTGCTTAAATCTGCTATAAAATTATTTGCCAACCATTGACAAAAGTTAGCAAGGATGAAAAAGTCTCTTCAAAACTATCTCATTGGTGCTCTGTATTCATCTGAACATAACTAAGGTATAGCACACACATTAAAAAAAAAAGTTACTGCAGAACTGTTTGTTCTTTCTTTGAGGTCAAGGGATCAGCTTGAGGTAAAATAGGGTGGAGGTTTCACAGAGGCCTTGGTCTCATCAAATCATCTATCCTTGACTACAAATTAGAAAATAGAGTAAAAATTGCTATCAGATTACACCAGGAGCATCTGCTCTCTAATGCTGCATAACTGGGATCTCATCAAAATAAGTAGCCAGTCTCTAAACTTGTTACTAGGGGAACAGGTGACTATGCCCTGTCTCAAATAGACAGAACTATTATTTTTTAGGTCTACTGGATAGAACAAAATAATACTGGAAAAGTCTGTATCCATATGCTTTGCTCCACTACTGCAGTAAACAGGTACAACTGAACCACCATCTCAACCCAGCATGAGAGAACGCTTTAATTTTCAGTTCCTCTGGTAGGATACAGACTGTTCTGTATCTGGTTCAAAACTTTTAACATGTAAGGAAATAAAAAAAATCAAGTCAGAAAGAAAAGAGCCTCAAGCACATATGCAGTATCTACAGAGAAAAGGAGCAAAAAAAAAAAAAAAAAAAAAAAAAAAAACCCAAAAAAAGGCCATATTTTTTAGAAAATGCACTTATATTGAATCACACTAAGCAGCAGTGAACAAGTGTAGCACCTGACTTCAATCACCTGCCTTGTTCATTGGGCAACTTTGGAAATAACACGAGATAAAGATGGAAAATTTTAATTACTCTTTTTAAAAACAAATAAGTACTTTGAAAGAATAGCTCATCTTCTTCCTGATGAATTAAAAGGTAAATTCACATGGTGAATGAGTGCAGGCTTTGAAATCAGCAAATAATTCAGAACATCATTTAGATCTCTCTAAAATGAGCAGATAAATCCCACTTAGGTCGAAGCTGAAATCATGCTAACCACCTTTGCTGGATTGGCTGATTTTTATAGTGTTCAAAGGTTAAAAAAAAAAAAAAGTGACAGACGTGACTGCATGCAAAAACCAAAAATCAAGTGTAATCAATATCATCAGGGCAGCCATCCTATTTTTCTTATACTTATGAATCTGTATTTATTTCTGCAAACCACAAGTGTTTGGAAATAAACACTTGGCTTGTACAATAGTACATAAAATAATCCTATTTGTAATAGAGCTACAGTTCCTACATTCATATAATAATATTTTTCCTTTTGAAGAGTTTTATCATGAATTTGCCATTTAAATGTTAGCATAATGTCTGTTTTCATGCACATGATCTGCACCTTAGACAATACACTGTTCACTCAAAGTGCTTGATTGACTTCACAGAATAAAGAATGTAAACTCTGGCTGCTAAAAACAGAAATATCTGTGTGTGATGGGCATACTTCTTTAGATTGCAAGTATCATTGTTTAGCCTTTCAGATTTCCTGTAAATCTAGGGAAAAGATAATGCATTTAATATTTATCATAATTTTTGGTTTAAACATGACTTATCAACATACTTCAAGAGATGGGAAAACATGCTGATCTGAGAGTGAAATTAGCAAAATTTTCATACATGACAGCTGGGATAAAAAGGAAGGAAAGGAAAGCTAAATTGTAGACTTTATCCACACCTTAAGGTGCCAAACAAGACTGAAAATGAAAAGCAAAACCTTGGGAAAAATTACATTAAAAAGAAAAAAAAAAGCACTTGGACATTACATAGATTTACCCAGTAAAAACAAATGTTGAATGTAAAATAAAAAGTAACACCAATTTTAAGTTAAAGTGCCCCAATAAAACTGCACTTATTGGTTTTAAAATCTTTTTTTTTCCTAACAGCTTCACAGAAGAACATAAGGTTATGTCTAAATCCATTATAAGCACAGGTACACAAATTCACAGCTTAATTACACTCAGAAAAGGTCTTTGGATTTGGAATTTGTGTTCTCTTAGCAACTACTCAGCACTGCTGAGAAGATTAATCTTCTTTCTGGTTTTAAACAAGCCAAACATTAGTAACATGACAATAAGGAAAAGAGTCTAGAAGGCTGTAAAACATACTTCATTTGCATCCAGTGAGGAAGTCCTCTTTTTCTGCATACCTCAGAAGGAAAGATTATGAAATATCCCAAGTTAGTAGGGTCCTGCAAGAATCATCAAGTCCAGCTCCTGGCCCTGCACAGGACAGCCCCACCAATCACACCACATGCCCGAGAGCATTGACAGACATCAGTCACAGAACCACTGATGAACGGGAGAGGAAGAGAGGTTAAAATTTGTACACTCTATGTTGTGCCCTCAAGCTGTGTCATGGAGCTCACAGGCTGTGTTTGCCTTCTAGTGGAATCTTCTTGTCTTCACTTAGGTACAGCTGTAACTGCTCACATGAGCAGGTAATTCCAGCCAAAGGGCTGATACCAAGCTCTTCTTAAACCTTTCCATATAGTAACAGGAAAAATTAAGAAATGAGGAGAATGGGAATGAGGATTACAAGCCTACTGCCATCTCACCAGTATAATAATGCATGAAATTTATAAACTGAGAAAGAGTGATATAAATTTAAAAAGTCACTATTTAACTTTATAAATATATAAATATTAAATTATATTTTCTACTCAAGCAAATAATTTTGAAGTTTTTATTATTGGCCTTATCTTTAAATTTAATTTGGTGTTTCATCTACTATTTCAGGATTGTGATACCATGTGCGAAGTTTACTTTTACTCTGATCCAATTTTCTAATTCTAGACAACGTAACAAAACAGAAAGGCTATTTTTTCCTCATGACAAATAAAAATAGACAAAAATACTGATCCAATCTTACAAAATCTGGCAAGGAGTATGACATCAAGTTTCTGTTTCCCTAGCTGATAAATCACAATTGTTTTAAGTCCTTGGCACATGATTAAAACAACAGCTGTGTTAAAGGGAAAAACTCCCACAATGTATTACTCACAACCATCTCAATATGATCTCTCCAGAGATGAAAAGCATTTTCAGAGAGAGTTATAGGCATGTCATGGCCATCTTATTCCCATAGACTTTGAATGAAACTCTTGTATTTTTAGCTTCCCATTTTATTTGAGCCAGAATGGGAAGGGGTAGAATTCTCCTAAAGAAAACTCCCACAACTATTATAAAGAGCCTAAGAAGCTAAAAATATTGCAAGTTACTCTCATGCACTCAAAATACTATCAAATTTTATTAAAAGAATCAATGTAAGTCTCTATTTTTATTCCAGGTATAACATCAGGTTTGGATCTTCAGTACCTGCATGGTTTCTGCTATCATACATTTTTCAAGGAGCTGTGTGGTGGTTTTTGAACTGAGTTTTCTGCACTGAATTCTGTAAAACTAAAACCTCACTACAGGCAACAGCTGGTGTGCTAAATTATTATATTGCTCTTTGATACCAGTATTTTGACCAAAAAAAAAAAAAAAGAGACTGTTTTCTGCCTGTGTGCCACCTTTTCCTGCAAAGCACAACCTAGTTATACCCTTCTTTAATTAACTTATATGTAATCTGTGATCCTTGGTTTGCTCCCTCATACCCTAACATCATCCATGCTCTATAGTATGAAGGGTTACCCATTTTATAATCAGAAGGGTCAAATGCGGTATCTTAGTCTCTTGTCCTGCATATCTCTAGCCACATTTTAAAACGGGAACAGCTGTGTAATCTGTCACATGCTCTAAAAGCAAGTGGAACAGTTTAGCACTTTCCTGCAAGACAGAAATTGCATGTTCTCTTGTAGTTTCTAAATGTAAAGTGCTTTTGTTTCTCATGTGAATATTTTGAATTGCTGAAAGTCCCAGTCCTGAGCTAGTAGTAATGTGAGTTTTCAGGTAAAATATTCACTAAACACTTGTAATAATGTTTATTAAACATGTAATAATGTTTAATTTTTGTTGTTGTTGCTTGATATTGCACAACAGTCATATTCCAGAGGAAGTAAAACAACATTAAAGGTGATAATACAGGGTACATTAAGAACAGCTTATAAAAGCCAGGAATTCTATCTAGGAAGCAGGAAGAGCTCTGGATTTGGCAGAGGAAAAACAAGTGACCATTTATAAAATCAGATAAGAGTCATTTCTCTACTTTCTATCAATGTGTGTTGCCCAACTTCACAAATGTTTTCAATATTGCCTACATTGGCACATCATATGTCAGCTAGGAATATATAGTTCAGATGACTTCAGAAAATCAGTGTCAGAGAACTGTCAGAGTTCACTGTTACAATGGAAGATGATACTG